AATAAATAAATAAATAATGCACCCCCTCTCCTACTTTTTCGTTCTTCCTCTTCCTCCACAATATCCATAATAATAACAACAACAACAAAAAAAAAATAATAAAAAAAAGGGAACAACACCCAAAGTGCATGTATAAATCCATACAAATAACAAACCATAATAATAAATAATAAAAAAGAAAAAAAAAAGGGAACAAACATGAGACGGGAGAAGCCCCTGCACCAGTCACGCACACACACACAAACACACACACACAAACACACACACACGGAAGTAAGCAAACAAAAACGGTGTCTTTCCCACTCCCCCACGCCCCTTCAAACGCTTACCATGAAACATCGCATGCAAATACCAGAAACAAAAACAACAACAGCAACCCCCAATCAAAAGGGGAGAAGAAATGTTTAATTTCCCGCTGCCTATAAATATATATATTACAATGAACCGCAACAAGAACGGTTTTAAATATATATTTTTTTCTTTTTTTTTTTGGCTCCTATTTCTTCGCTTCACTCCTTTTGTTTTATCTTATAAATATAAATATAAATATAAATATTTATTTCTTTTCTCTCGCTTTCTCTAAAAAAAAAAAAAAAAAAAAAAAAAAAGAAAAGAGAAAACAACAACAACAAATCATACTTGTCGCGTTAAAATCAGTCCCATCGCAGCCTCAAGACAATCTCTTGCGGGGGATGTATGAAGCGCATGAAGTGCTTCAACGCCACGACGACAGTGTTCGCCTGCATGTTCAAGAGCCTCAGCAACACACCCGTGACGCTCCACCGCCTCCATGCACATCTCCGTGTCACCTGGATTTTTAAAACGACGCCGTACTGCTTCGTAGACCTGCGTTTCCTCTCGTGCAGCAAGAAGAACTGGAAGTGTTGCAATGCCTTCTGCCATGTCCGCCATCTTTGGTTTCCCCAAATTTTTATCATCCCCAGTGATGTCCAAGCAATCATCGACAATTTGAAATGCAATGCCCAAATGCTTTCCAAATTTCGCCGCTGCCTCTTCATAGGCGGTGTTTGGAAAACCCGCAAGTACCGCAGTAGATGCCAGGGAGTTGGCAATAAGAGATGCTGTCTTACAGTAACTCTTCTGTTCATAACTCTCAATGTCAAAGCAGCCGTCCATTTGCATCATTTCTCCAGCAG